TTAAATATCATATTAAAGTTATGGGATCCGTGTTGCCTGGTGATCAGCAAAGTTGATCTTAATCACAAATATATCTATAATACATCCAAGATTTTAAAAATGCAAATCCTACAATAGATTATACAGCAACACAGAGTTCCTGTAGTAATACAAGACTCGTGCAAATGTGATTATATATTTATTCGTGTTCCTTCTGCCGTTGCATAAGAATGTGTTGGTCCGTGTTTCCCACAGATGTGTGTCATGAAATGAGGCGCGCATTATTACCAAAATAATAAGTTTCTCTGGCAGATATCTAATTGGACAGACACTTGTGGAAAATAAATGAATAATAATAAATACAATGAGCTGCTTCTCAGTCCAGCTTTTCATCAATCATTGCAGTTTAGAAGGGATAACAAAGGCAATCATTCTGCTCCATGTTTTGGGGAAGCATTTGCATTAATATGGAGGACGGCAACAAGCTCAACCTGGCCCCGAGCCAGCCAGCAGGCGAACAAGAGATGGAAAGTGTTGGAGCAAAGGACCTACTTTCTTTACCAAACAAGAGCGAGGGGATTGTCCGGTGTTAAATCGCTGGTGTTTTTGTCTGAGACTGATACAAAAGCGCTGAAATGAGTTGCCAAATGTGTTTGGATTGCCAATAATACACCTCAGCAGCTTACCCAGGTAAAGTCTGTGTATGGGAAACTGCTTTAGAAAAGTTTGGACGGCATTTTAGGCGCAAATAAAGAGGACAGAGAGTTCACAGAAGAGTGAACACTCCATGAAAATATAATAGATGTTTTGAGGTTTACTGGACAATCAGATTTATTATGTAGATTTCAAAATTCACTACAGATGGGCTCGTCAGCAGTTTCACCTTTAACCAAAATAGTCTTTGAGATCAGTTGGAAAGGTCACACGTTCAAATCTCTCTTTAGTCCTTCTTTGTCACATATGCAGAAATTTGGCTGCTGAAAGCATGTCAGTAGCACCTTCCACAAAACAGCGTGGGGCTTTCAGGCAGTCTTTTGTTACACTGGGATTTTCCCAACATAATAATGCTGCCATCTGTGGTACAGAGATATTACAGTGAAAGTATAGTGGACCGTGGAAAACAACAAAAACAGTTTAGGTTGTCTGTTCAGAATTTGTGGGAAGTCAAAATAAGCATACTTGGTGGGATTAGTGAGCTTCTACAGGTTTAGATACAAGGATGGTTATTCTCCCTCACAAATACAGTTACAGAGCAGGGAAAACATCGAGGTTTCTAGTGGTTTTCATGGTTACTGTACCTTAAATAACAGATTCTATAAGGTTCTTAAAGCTCATTCTGCTTTATGAGACTATAAAACACACTAAGTAATTGCGTTGTTATAGTGCAGATGGTTGCTAAGCAAGGAATTGCTGCTTTCTTTTATTTAATGCCAATCACGATCGTTGTCAAGACGTGATTTGTCTAAAAGCACAAGTGGCTGTGAAAGCGCTGTCATTAGGTGCACTTTAGTGATGTAGCTTGATGTGCATTATCTTGTGTTATTACTCATTCCTGTTGCTACTTTACATTTAACCACACAAACCCTCCACATTATAGATCATCAGGATAATGCCGCTTAATGATATTTCTTGGTTCATCTGTATCTTCTCCCAATCTGTCATGTCTGTTGTATTTTACCGGTGGACCACAGAGGGGCGCTGTGTATCCAGACTGATAGCCTGTGTGAGCAAGAGTTTTTCAACACGCTGTGTAGTGATGGTAGCTACCAATTCATTTGCATCCCTCTCCTCTGTCGTGCCCTAATGGGACACCAGCGGGGCCCAGGGCGATGGGAAATAATGCATTTGCCCAAAAATTAAGGGTAAATAAACAAGCATGAGGAAATGAAGAGGAAAATAATCTCTTTCACTACTAAAGAGCAGGAGAGGAGGGAGAGCAGAGGGCACATTTATTCCCCACCGATGGGCCCGCTGTGATGTGAATCAAATAGATGATGAGTCACTTGGGTAGATGTTATTGCTAGCAGCCGGTAATTCATCACCACAGCCCGCTTAGAGTGAGTGGGATGGAGTGGGATCTGAGCTCTTGTACAAATCCACCATGGTGCCAGTATCTCGTTCCAAGAAAAAGGCGATGATGATGATGGGGGGAGGGCAGGGGATACTGTGATGCAATAGCACTTCTCATGTGTCATCTTTATAGTGTCTCACAATAATACACGGTGTTTCCTGCGTGGAATTTTGTTTGTGTGTTTTAGACTTTAGGGAGATGCCAAATTGGAGCCAGTGAAAGAGAGGAGAAGATGGCAGCCAGGCTGCTCAAAGCAGACAGGGAGAAATCCAAGGTAAAGAAATTGAGTGTTAAAGGAGCGTTTTTGCATTAGAGAAAATTTGGGATGATCTAAACGCCTTCGA